TATCATTGCTTTGTAATTGACTTCAGGCCTGGAGATCTCACCTGATGAGCAGAGATGGCTGCAGAATGAACCAGAGGAGGACATCCCTCCTGAACAAAACCATTCTGCTGCAGCCTGGTAAGACATCAGTTAATGATAATAACATTTGTTCTTTTTACTGTGTTGTCTTTGCTTAAGGAAAGTGTTATATCCCCAAGAGCTGTGTCTGTGCAGCTCCTGGTTTGCATTTGGGTGAGAAGTGATAATTCTTGTGCTGGAGAGTGTGCTTGGGGAGTAAATTCCCAAACTCATGCAATAACAGTCATGTTCAAAGGAGGACACGAGCTCAGCTGGGAAAAACTGGCAGATTTGATAAATTGATCAGTTCAGGGATTTTTTCTGCAGAACAGGATGACCATGAATAGAACAATCAGCTGAACAGTGTTCTGGAAAGCTCCTGAATGCTGACACAGAGAACCAGAGCCTGATTTAGCTTTTAGTGTCCAATCAAAGGTTGCTAATCTGATCCTAATTACAGGGTGAACTGAACAGTGAGTGCTGTGCACTGCTTTTCCTTTCCAGGCCAGACTCAGGAACCTGACAGATTTATCATTGTGCAGCTTTTTCACCATCAGAGACATTGATGATGTCAGGTGGTGTTTTTTCCAGCAGTTTCCTTTATGAAGAACATGGAAAATCCTTTTATTTCCAGAAGTTAAACAAACTGCCTGCAACACCAGAACTTTTGGCCAGTAACATCCAAACCTTTCCTCCTTCAGACTCTGGAGTTTTCTAGTCAGCTGTGTGTTCAGTTCACCTGCTCTGAGCTGTGCTCTGCTCATATCTGCATGTCACTATCCCAGGTTCCTGGAAAGAACTGTGGAATTGCCCATTCCAGCTGACCTAAGTGAATCATAGGGGTTAAACTCAGCACTTTCTGGTGTTAAACTGGATGCACAATCCTCTCTGTGTGTCCTCAGCTTTGGCTAATGAGACACCAATCAGTTGTTAGTTTGTCACTGCTTAGAATTTGGAAACAGAAGCAAATCCTGCCTGGATAAGCTCTGATTCTATTTCCTAGAGGTAGGAAAGGAGCCCTGACCATTCAGACACTGCTGGTGTGGAACATGCTGAGGCTCAGTGCCTGCCAGCTGCTGCTTGCTTCAGTCATTCACACTGAACAGATCTTGGGAATCAAACCAGTACATTAATTTCACTCCTGGGACTAGATGTGCTTGCAATAATGATCTCTATTTTTCTCTTTGCAGCCAAAGCATTTGGCCACTATTTAAGGAGACCAGGTCCTTCAAGAACAAAGTTTCAATCTCCTTCAGTAGGAAGCAAGATCAGAACTCGAGGGGCCCCAAATAAAAACACTGGCAAAACATACTCCAAGCGATGACAGGAAAAGTATTTCTTCCTTTGTCTGAATAACTGGGCACATGGCTTTTCTGAGCTATTTAAAAATTGTAGGCAACTTGTATCATCTTTTTGTGGGTTGTTTTTAGGCTTGAGCAGTGCCTGGTGTCATCCCCACGGCGTTGCTGTCACTGCAGCACTGGGCTTTGCTTTGCTAGGAATGCTCATGTTGGAAATACCAAATGCTCTGGGACAAAAACATTATTTTGACAGAGTACTGTGCTCTCCTTTCCAATCCCATGTCAGTAATTTAATGGGTTCAAAGACAATTATGTCAGGGGAGAGAAGTCTGTTTCCTGGTGCTTGAGGAACAGGCACCACACATGGGGGAAGCCTGGCCTTGTGTGTGTGTCAGATTTAGGGTTCTAAAGGCAGCAGAGCTGTACCCAAAGCACTGCTCAGCCCCAGGAATTTGCACCAAATGAAAAGCCAGAGGGCTGGCTGGATGTTTTCCTGGTTGTGCCACTGTGCAGGAGGTGACAGGACATTGTGGCCTCTCACTGTGCACCAAGTGCCTTAGGAGCCCATTTGGCAGGAGGGTTAAACCAAACCCTCCAAGTCTGTATTCCCCTTACAGAAATGAAAAAATATAATCTTGGTTGGGTCCTGAAGAGCTTGAATTAGTAAATATAGTCATTTTTGCCTGCTTTAGTGCACTTTCAGCTCAAATACTGAGCTCCTCTAGTTAGATATTGATTAAAATAACCATCCACAGACTGGAGCACGTGAACAGCTTCAGAGAGACAAAGTCTGTTAAGACCAAGGCATGAAGCTTTGTACCAAAGCAGCCATTCTCACATCTCTAACATTCTCTCTTTAACATTCCAGCTGTTGCTTTCCAGTGTGGAATTGGTACCATGGGCACAGGAATGAGTGGTCATGATCATATGAGGGGAAATTTGGGGGTTTTTGCTCCCATGGAGTGACTTTGTGGTGTTGTTTTGTATATAGAGCTGATTTTGTAATACAGTTTTTCTAGTTTGCCTGCAGCCTGCATACCAGATTATGGATTTTTCAGGTAGATCAGTGTGCTTGGATTTCAAAATTATTTGTATAAATTGTTTCTCTAACTCTTCAAAATACATATTTCAATATTTATACACACATTAAGAACATATATATAGGTATTTTTATGTTCCCTTTAGTGACATGGGTTCCTATTTGAGGGCCTGATTCTCTATGCTAAATAAATAATAAATTTTTCAAAATAGCCATTTATCTTGCTCAGAGGTGTAAGGATGAAAACTACTCTATAGTACAATCAGGAAATAACTTAGTGGTGATAAAATTTTTTAGAATGTGAAAGGACCCTTTTGGAGTACAGTAATACCACCAGTGTCTTGTTTAAAGGTGAATTTACTGGGGTTCTCCTTAATTAACAACCTGGCTTTGCTGCAGTGGCAAAATAAACACTGGAGTGAAAACCACCATGAGGTTTGATGCTGTGCCACCAAGTCTTGAGCAGAATATTCCAAAGAAAATCCATTGCACAGGTGTGGGTCTGGGCAGTGAAAGAAGGGCTGCAAAGTGTTGGACTGGAACCTGGATTTGGCTACAATGGGGCCTCAGTAGGAAAGCAAGGAAAGAGTGTGGTCCTGAGTGGTCTCTGTCCATCTGAGCTGTGCCTGAGTGTCAGCTGGGGCATTTCCATGTGTCACTGCAGGGATGGTTCCAGGGCAGCCCCTGTCCATGTGTGCAGGAGTTGATCTCATCCCAAAAGACCTCTTGGTGTTCCTCTACTCCAAGAGAGCAATTTATAGTGATTGCATGTTCCTAAATGCTGGATAAGCAAATCACACATTGAAATCTAGGAGATATTATCAGGAAAAGGAGTGGCTTGTGTTAAATGTCAGTTATTTTTATTGCACATATTTAATAAATTACTTTAGCCAGTCTGGAGGGTACGTCTGCATTTTCCACCTGCTACAATGGAAATGGGTACAGAATGGGGTGAGGCTGTGGTTCCTGCAGCACCTGTGGGTGCCTGTGAGTGCTGTACCTGTGTGAGCCATGCCTGGGGGACCTGTACCAGCCGTGACAGTGTGTGACATTGTGTGCTCTATGTGTGTGAGCTGTACCTGGACCTGCCTGAGCCGTGCCTGTGTGACAGGTACCAGTGTGTGCTCTGTATGTGTGAGCTGGATCTGGACCTGTACATGTGTGAGCTGTACTTGGACCTGTGTGACCTGTACCAGTGTGTGCTGTAATTGTGTGAGCTGCACGTGTGTGTGCTGTCACTGGACCTGTGTGACTTGTGAGCTATACAGGTATGTGCTGTAGCTGTGTGAACTGCATATGTGAGCTGTACCTGGACCTGTGTGACTTGTACCAGTGTGTGCTGTAGTTGTGGGAGCTGTAACTGAACCTGTGTGACTTGTACGTGTGTGAGCTTTACCTGTGTAAGCTGTACCTGGACATGTGCGGCCCCGCTGGGGCAGACCCGCGGCTCAGCAGCGATGCGGTCCCGTATTTTGCCTTGTTTAAGGTATCACTGCATCCAGGAGCAGCGATCCCATCCCGTTCCGCTGCATTCCCGCTGCCGCGTTCCCGCCGC